TATGTAAATCTTTCCACGATTTCGAATTCGTATGATAATCTTTCTTCTACTTCTACTTTAAACTTTTGTCCATCCCTAAACTGATCATCTGTCCACTGCATACATTTTGTTTTAGTTTCATTTATGTAAAGTCCCATTTTCTTTGCTGCTTTTTACTATTCTCTGTACTATCTCCTGTAGCTCTTTTTTTCCTCTTGCCAGCAACACTATATCATCCGCAAATGCCAAAACTTGGTGTCTTTTATGATATAGGAGTCCTTCTCTATTAATTCTCGCTTCTCGCATTATTTTTTCTAGGCATAAATTGAAGAGTAATGATGACAAAGGATCGCCCTGCCTTAATGCTTCGTTTACTATAAATTTGTCCGATGCATGATTGTTGACTTTGACTCTGTTTTCTGTATTCTCTAAAGTAAGATGTATCATGTTACGCAACTTTCTGCTAACTCCCAGTTCCTCAAGGGTCTCTTTTAATTCCTTCCTTTTTATTCTGTCGTATGCTTGCTGGAAGTCGATGAATAGCGCTATCGTTGGTAAGTTGCGTTCATAGCTTTCTGCTTGTAACTCTCTTATTATGAATACTTGGTCCGTTGTGCTTCTCCCTCGTCTAAATCCACACTGGTATTCGCCTATTATATTTTCAGCTTCTTTTTCCAGCTTATCTTTTATCGATTTTGATAGGATTTTATAGATGGTATTTAGTAACGCTACTCCTCTGTAATTACTGCATTCTGTTTTGTCTCCTTTTTTGTGTAATGGACAAATAATGGCTTCCTTCCAATCTCCTGGTATTCGTTCTTTTATCCATATCTCTTTTATGATCTTGCATATCCAATTATTTAGCAGTTTTCCACCATATTTCATCATCTCTACTGTTATGTTATCACTTCCAGGGGATTTGTTGTTTTTCAGATTTTTTATGATTTCCTCGATTTGTTTTTTGCTGGGTGAATTATTATGTCGTCTATGTGTTCAATTCTTGCTTCTGCTTCCATATATTCTGTTTGGTTTGACTTATTATTACCATTTAGTATTTCATCAAAATACTTTTTCCATCTTTCGACTATTTCTGCTTCCCCGCTTATATTATTTCCTGCTTTGTTTTTAACGAATATGGGTTTTTGTTGGAAACCTTTTTTTTCATTTCTAGCACCTTGATACAGGTTTTTTATTTTTTTATTTCTATAATTATCTTCTATTTCTTTTAGCTTATTTTCTATGTGTTTTCTCTTCTTTTCTCTCAGCACCCTCTTTACTTTTTGTCTTTGCTCCCTATATCTATTCTTTGTCTCTATTGTTTCTTTCGTGATCATTTCTATCCTTAATGATTTTCTTAGTTCTATTTCTTTTTGGCACTCTATGTCGAACCAGTCTTTCATCTTTTTATTCTCTTGTTTATCACATTCTTTTGCTGCTTTCTTCATTATTTGCTTTATGTTTTCCCATTTGTTCTCAGTTTGCTCTTCTATTTGTATCTTTTTTAGTTCTCTTTCCATTGTTTCCTCGTATATTTCTTGATCTTTTTTTGTTGCTAATCGAATTGGGTTAACTATACTCCATGCTATTACTATTAAACATCCATACCAATTCTTCTTTGCTTAGGTACTTGTGGCTAACTGTAGCCAACATCTTTTTTTGCTGATTATTTCACGTTCATCTTTATATTTTTCGAATATTCTTTTACAGTTTACTCCTCAGTTGGTTTATGTGTTTCTAACTTTTTCTCTATTTCAGTTTTCAGCTTTTCCTTCTTGTTGTTTTCCTTCAAATCCATGATGTCATATCTTTTTATTTATTTTTCTGTGTCACCGTATTTGTGAAAGCGTCTATTAGTTAGACTCTCTTGTGAGTATCTTGGGGGTGATTTTCATGTAAATAGTCTTTTTCTGGTGTAGGTGTCAAAACCAATGTATGTGTAATTGTTATAGCGGTTCATGTTAGACTCTTGTAAATTTATAAGTTGAGTCTCATAAGAGAGGAATATTTTTTTTTAACGAAAATAAACTTTGCAGCTATTATTTTACCAGCTCTTTCTATTATTATCGGTAGACAGTAAAATTAAACTAATAACTCTAATCTCACATGTTTTTTAAAGTTTAAAACGGCCTGCTGTAGAAATATTACAGAAAATATTACGTGAGATATGAATAATGTGAAGGATTTTGAGATTCTGGTTAGTAAACTCGGAAAGTCCGTCAAACTGAACCAGATCAAAACTTATCCTTCTATTATTAAATGAGAGGTGATAATTTAATGCTAAATAATAAATTCCGCTTTGAAAATGTTTGTGAAAAAGTATTAAATACGAAACGAGAAATAATTAAATCCGTAAATTAATTTTCGAAACCAAATTCAGATTTTTGCTTTAATGTGCCTTCTAAGAATTTCAAGGCAAAACAGATGTTGATAAAGATGTTAGTTGAGACTTGGGGAATCTAAAATTTGCATTCCACAACATATCTCCTCAACTAAGCAAAAATCCATAGCGAATTGGTTTCTAGTACTGGAACAGAGTATATAGAATTAAAAAGAACAGATAGTTAATATTTTATTTCACGTATAGTGCGTCTGTGTATCCACTTATACATATTTCGCCCGAATACGATTCTTCAGAACGGCAACTCACAGTCGTTCTCAACGTGAGAAATAATTATTTTCAGATAATTATATAACGCTGACGCATTTCTTGTAGATACCTAACTTGACAATTATTCTCCATTCTTTGACGTATTTTTAGTTTTTTAAACTCCGATCATTCTCAGAAGATGTTAAGTATCTCGGAGTGATCCTTGATATGAAACTTACGTGGAGTGCTCACCTTACAAATATTTCCACTAAAGTAATAAAGGCTTTTTCGACGTGTCGTAGGCCTTTTGATAAAACATTGAAACCAAAAATTATCTAATGGTCATAGTTACTTATGCTGCTCTGATTTGGTGGAACAAAACAACGCAGCAAACTCAATACGGGAGTTACAAAAAATGGAAATACTTGCTTGTGTAGCAATTACGGGTGTAATGTGATCGTGACCCATTGGAGGCTTAGAGGTAATACTGGACCTTCCTCTTTTTCATATAAATGTATAGAGAATCGTTTTAGAAAGTAAATGCTTTTAGGCGAACATGGACTTAGTATCTAAAACCAGGTGACATAACTTTTTTTTCTTTTCTAAAGTTGTAAATTTTCTAAAAACCCTACCAAGTTAACCCATCCCTTGGGATGACTGGTGTGTGTTGCGAATGCGTTCCTGTTACCCTGCCTGCTAACTTAAACCATTCTCTCTTACGTGTATGCAGTTGACTGTCGCACGTACCGTACTCCGAAAGTGGTATATCCGGTCCAAAGCTGACGACACTTTCGGAGCACTCTCTTCTCTTATCTAGATCTTATCTCTGTCGTTGGTCTGGTTGATGTTTCTATTCTTCTTAATGACTGCTTGGATGTAATTGTGTACATTATTCCATTCCTTCTTACTTCCCGTCATCTTCACAACCATCTCTCTCTCTCTCTCTCGCAGTCACAGGGTTTATACCTGCTTCTCTATACATTCTGTTTCTCTCTACTGTCCATCACTCCCACATTATGTGAGTAACAGTTTTCCCAGTATAGGCATTTTTTGTACCTGTCTTTCTGAACCTCTGAAGATACGCCCTAAAATGCCCATTTCCTGTGAGCGCTTGCATCAGAAAGTATTCCAGCCCCCTGTGACCACAGTCCACCCAGTCCCTTATGCTGGGGATCAGCATCTTAGTCCACTGGGCAACATATTCCGTGCTGTTCCTCTCTTCTTGCCATTTTTCCATTGATCTTTCCCTTTTTTTTATTTTTATGGCAGTCGTCAAATGTTTTCTTCTCTTATAGAGATGTCTCCATTCTACTAACACATTCAAAGGAAGGCAACCCGATAGTCCACAAGGCCGCCGCAGATACAGTCGTATATCCGCCTCACTCCAGACTGATGCTGCGTAAAGGATGTTTGACTGCACAACACCGTGCAGTACCCTCCTCCTTTTTTATTTGGGTTCCCCAATGTTGGGCATCACCCTTCCCAGCCCAACTGCATTCTTCTGTGCCTTCTGGGTTGCCACCCGTTATATGCTCCACTCATCCGCCATGTTGATGTAGCGTCACTCCCAGATATTTGATGCATCTCTTTGATGTTAGTTGTGTCGTTCTTTTCCGGTTATCATGCAGAATGATGGCTTCAGCCTTTTCTGCCGCGAGTTCCAATCCGTACTGGCATCCAGTCCTTCACGACATTGCCCGTATCACTTACCCTAAATCAGAGATCCGGCTCGTCCCACGTTACCACCAACACAGCGAGATCATCCTCAAAGACGAAGGGGGTTATACCTGCTCCTTATTCTCAGTTCATGTCCCCGTCGTATGCCAGGTTCCATAGCATCGGACCCAAGACTGATCCCTGTAGGACACCAGATGTTACGTCAACGAGCGTGCTCTTCTCAACCATGATCCTTCTCTCGGAAATATATATATTCCGATATCACATTTATCAGATAGCTAGTACACTCCCTATCCTCCAATGCCCGCATCACCCCTTTCCACTGCTGAGTGTTGAACGTATTTCTAACATCGAAGAGCAGCAAAGCCACCCAGCACTGTTCGTCCCCACTGTTGTGAGTACATTCAAAAGGATAGATATTTGGAGTGTTGGAACAGCCTAATGCATGAAAGTGCTCTTAGCCATTATGTCTATAAAACAAATTCACTCAAATCACAAGAGGTGCCCTCACATATTGTACTCAGGTATCAAAATCACAGCATGGAGTATTTGCCCTCGGAGACTCTTTTACAGTATTTCAAGTAAAAATGCTAGCAGTAGATTGAAAAAATCTGATAATTTTTCCTTTTTTTTTATCTCAATGTATGGTAGTTTCTAGGGTGAAACTATTTTTCTCTTTTTCTTTGAAATGATTGGTTTTGTAATTAACAAGAATTTTACGTAGCTTATATTAACATACTGTATTTTCTTGTTTCAGATTATTGAAAAACAACCGCTCCTATCTGCACAGCTATCCAAATCGTCGATATCGGCGATTATTGTCCTGTATAATCAACGTTTTTAATTCAGCGGTTCAAAATTGCTGCCATGGGTCGCAAAAAAATACAAATATCAAGAATTACCGACGAACGGAATCGTCAGGTAAGAAATTTTTGTTTTTAACATCATAATAAATAACTACTATCTACTTATTGCTGATTTTTGAGATAATAAAAATCAAACAATACGCTAAAAAGAGAGGTGGAAATTAAAATGAATTTACTATTAAAATAATACTTGTGTTCTCTCACTTAATTTTTTTTAACTTGTAAACAAAACATTATATTAAGATTTTATTTAAAAATATCAATTAAATCGATAGTACTTGTAAAACATCTTAGTAATTTAGAAAGACTGACAACCGCGTCTTCGATAATTATATTCATAATTTCATTTTTATCTAAAAATATTTTTTGTAATCTTTATCTTTATAAACCTACTATATGATTATATGTGGATAAAAATACATCAAAACACTGACCAGAAAATTGCATAAACTGAGACTTTTGAATCGAAATTAGACGTAGGGGAGATTGGACAGAAAAGACTACCTAACACTTTTTTACTTGCATCTGCCTTTCATAAGTAATGAAAACACCACCTTAACAGTAGTTTTAAATAAAAATTTTTATTGTAATGCTTAACAAAAAATGTAAATATACTAACACGTTTAAAAGAACTACAACTTAAAGAGACATGGCGTCCTATTCTGTATACTCCAGTATGCGGAGCAAATGAGAGCATCAGTTAGTGTTTGCAAAATTCGCGTAGTGCAATCATCTGCCCATTTATTGCATTGTTGACACTTTATCCAGCCCTCTTCCTTATTTCTCCGTCTATCAGGTTCATTGCAATAGATACATTCCGGATCTGAATCTTTACTACTGTCACTGCTATCGTTCACTGGCTGTTTTTTCTTTTGGCACAAGCTTCAAAATTTGAATCTGCTTCTGCAATTCTTTGCGTGATTTTAGTTTTGTTATCTTGCCAGTATTGCTTACTGGTGCCAGGTTGAGGAGAATAATTATCAGATATGCCGGTTGAAGTTGCAGACAATTACTGATTTGGAGTGGCAAGTCTGGGAGACCTAGATTGGTGCAATTGCTGACGTATTTGAAAAGCATACACTAAGCAATTTTGCTGTAAATGTATAAGGGCATACAGGACCAGCGATCCTATATTCCCCAACGTAGGTGAATCTCATTGTCCCATTTCCCGCAAAAAGAATTATTAAGCATAAGTTTAGTTAAATTAACGATTAACGCGTGAAATAAAGGTGAGAGATGTGAACTGCACACATTTAACAGCAAACGGACTTTTGCATACAGTATTTTGTAATAAAATATCATAAAAGTTCAGTAAAAATTAGAACACTTACCTTAAATTATCTCATAAAATGGACACTTTGCATTACCTGCGTTCACTGACTCTGTACTGAAGCACGGTTTACTGTTGCCAACCTCTGGTAGCAAATTCAGCGCGAAATTCAAATTATTCATTTCATATCTGTCAATGTTCCTATATGCCCCGCTCTCCCCTATCTACCTGTTTATAGGCGCCCAGTTTATTATATTCATTGTTTACGACTATTATGCATTATATTGCAATACTATATAATAAACTGACTGTTTCAGAATAAACATGCTAAAATCAAATATTTCTTATAACACGAAATGACCTACAAAAAGATGCAGAAATTTGATAGGTAGCTTTGATGGGTAATGAAGTTGCTATTATCCTCATTTGGTACAAAAATCGCAGGATTATAAAATTAAAACTAGAATAATTGGGCTGTATAAACTACGATTTGCCCATAACAAAGTATTTATCGCTTAAGTAAAAAATAGCTTATTTAACACCCCTAATATCAAGAATCTTTAATGCACTTGCACTTTGCAAAGATGGGGGTGCAGAACACTGTTTGTGAACAGGTTTTTGTAGAAAGTTGGAGCTGTGGAACAGAAATGTACAACAACAAAAAATAGAAATGTTTGCAAAATATGAATGAATACGTCAAAACAAAAGAAAAAAATCAATATTTTAAAGTTGTTTTGTGACAACTGAAAGTCATTTAGCCGTGTTGGCTCAGAATCCTAAAAATTAATTTCTTGCTGACGACAAATTGATAGCAAGTTACGAGTGGATTAGGGATCGATTCTCTCAATTGCAGAAGAAGAAAATTTCATAGTACTTCATTACAAGAAGCGAAATCAAGAGATAATTTAGTAATAAATCTGTGAGTTTTGGGCGGGAGTGGATGATGTCTATTTTCCACTGAAAACAAGAGCAGTTCGTATATTATTGTCATTTTCAACATCCTACCTTTTCGAAGCCGTATTTTCTGCGGTGGTTTCTTTAAAGACAAACTAAATATAGACAATGAACTGATAGTGGCTATTTGTAATATGAAATATATTTTTTGTAATGTCAGAATGAATAACCTTTTTGTTATTCTCTTGGTGAATTAAACTTTGTTATCGGTATTAAAAGTAATTGTCATTTTTTTGTATTTCGATGTACTAGCACCCCACGTAGAGGTATGGTGCCACAAGAGGACGCGCCACTCATTTTGAGAAACGCTGTTAAGTTAAGGTTAAGTTAACTACTGGCTTCGAGATACTTGTTTCTTCAACCATTTTTTTTTTCATTTCTTGTTTATTAGAAGTTCAACATTGTTCATTTTGCTATTTTATGTTCTTAGATGGAATACTTACAGCAAAGTGTTAAGAAAATCGTAACTTAGGTGTGTGGAATCAAAAAACGTTAATACATAATTAATAAAGACAAAAATATGTTTGGATTTAGAGATAAGGTAACCATGAGTTATTCTGCTGTCTTATACGCAAACGAGCGACATATGTATAACTGTTTCACTGTATTCACTAACACCGACGCGACGACGCACTTTGTATTGCTTCACGAGCATGATGGTCAGCTTTTTCGTTGCCCTCTTAACGAGTATGAGATTTGATCCAAATGAAACGAAAATTTTTGCTTCATTTAGAAGATGTATTTTATATATGTAATGAACTGAGGGAGTCAGTAATTATCACGGTTTGGAGAAGTTGTGGTTGTACAGTTCCCCAGACAGGATGCTACTGATTGGTGGTAATTTAAATTGTAATATAATATTTGGAGTAACAGCTGCTGATCCTACACCATTATTGGATTTGGATGCATCTGTATAAACGTGGTAACAATCGGGAAGACAGAAAAGTTTGTTACGGAACAATTGGTTTATTATTGCATGAGAGGTTTCAAATTTTTGTATTTAGACAATGGGTAGATCACATTGTCTAGTTGTTTAGACTCTGCAGATTTTGATGAACCTCTGCTCACCTGGTTTGATCCCTAGAAGCTGTTCATGTTTCTGTTTCACTTAGCTGACTACTATTTATATGTTTTCTGTCTAATTTGTATGAATTCCGACTTCTGTGTTTGTCTCTTTTTTCAGTTCCACAAGTCTGGATGGGCTTTATAGCGAACGACAGTTGTTGTCTTTATATAAAACGTTTGGAGGGAAACCGTGTTGCCTTAATCTCTACTAATTGTTTGGAGAAAGCTTATTGAATTCCTTTTATCAGAGGGTACAGTATCAAATATTTTAGAACCATAAAACTATTAAAAGATATTCCTTCGTTATAACTTAGCAGAAAACAAGGCGTTGATTCAGTATGTGTTTGGTTTTATCAATTTCTTCAATCTGACCAATCATCTCTTCATATTTCAATAGTAAGTTTTCAATTCGGTTTTCAGGTTGAAACTGCAGACCATCAGTTTGCATATCTGCGATTTCTAGCACCCAGTTTGTTATTCTGGTGATCTTGACCTTCAATGGGTTTCTATTCTTGGCAATGATTACTTGTTTTTATGCCTGTTATAAAATAATACTTTACACTTGTTAGATTTGCATAAATAAAGTTTTATAAATGAAAATAAAGTTTCATGATAGTGAACCCACGACTGCTTTAATCTCAACTTTTTCTGTAGATGTTTAAGAAAAATTTAAATAATATTTCGACTGAAAAAATAATAAAATACCAATTTTAATACATTTCTCACGTAATTATGTATGTCCATAAAAATTTAAAAATCATAAACAATAACAATTATTAGTAAATCTTTAAATCAGAGTTTGTTTTTGAAAATTGATGAAACAATACTTTTATCGTTTCACTGATAAAATGAATTTTTCGCAGTTATCAACGATTTCTCATCACTTAAGTACTTAATTTCAGTTTCACAGTTAGAGATACTAGGAACATTTTCTAATGTTAAGAAAACATTTATTACAATTAGCAAGTATTGCACTAAAATAGAGTAGAATCAATATAAAATGGACAATTGCTGAAACGGAACATTCAAAAATGCTGCCAGAATCGTTAAAATGTATATCATACGAGTACATATATAAAAAAATGAGAAACAATATTTAAAATCTCGAATACGTCATCATTATCAAAAACGAGACCAAACAATGAAAACTGACACAAGAAATCTTATGTAACTATACCATATGTATACCATAAATACTTATGGTAGAAAATACCATACAAATATGAAAAGTTCCATTGGGGTGGGGGCTAGGACTCTAAATTATTTGAGTCATGCAATCGTATCATTCATTCATAATAGATTGGCCCAAAGGCTATAGCGGAATAAGATGTTAAAATCTGCACTAGGCTGGATTTTTATTTACAGTTGAATTTGATTTTTATTTACAGGGCACTTGAAAATACATATTTAGAAACCCCATTACTCAAATTTGTAGCTCCCTAATGTGGTTTCTGGGATCCCCTAAAGCAAAGAATGTTTCTTTTTGAAAAATAATTTTTCTGAGCGAAACAAAATCATAATTTTAATGCCCAAAAACCCTCAGATTTATTTCAGAGTTTTTTAGATGAAAATTAGCTCAGGAAAAAATTTTAGGTTATGTAGGTAATTTTTGACAAACTTCTAAATCATTGTTTTTGTGTATTTTTCACGTTCTTGTGAATAGGAGGGTTAGATTTTACATTTTCTGTAAGAAAATTTGGAAAACCCCTTTTTTTGGTATTTTTCCAATGGTTTTAGCACATAATCTCAAATCAATGTCAATAAAT